AGTCAGTATTAGGTTTAGGCTTACAGTAGACTTAGAAATGTATTTTTGCATGTAGATACTTATATATACAAATATAATGCATATGGTCCACATTACCATATATAGGTACTTACATGCAGTACTGCAAGTTTTTAATTTTCAGGAGATACTTCTGAGAAGATTATATATCTAAGATAATCTGCTTGCATAAGTAAGGGAAAAATCAAAGAAAATAAGTGAAAAAACAGAAGTTTTCAAAACTGGAGTTCAAACATTTTTTTAAGATACAGAGAAACTCCTAACAGCCATAGAAGACCTGGCAGACCACCAAAACAGATCTGAAAACATGCACAGGTGTTTCTGTCCATCCTTTCACTGTGAGCAGACAACTCTACGCTATGTGTCTGAAAGGATGTAGCTGTCTAGAAGCTGTTACTGAGAAAAGAAAAAAGAAAATCTGCAAATCAAACAAAGAAGCTGCTGGTGTTCAGAACTATGGGACTGACCACCCCAAGTCCCAGACCTAAACATCACTGCATGTGGGATTAGAAGCAAACTGCAACCAACTTGTAAAACTAAACTTTAGAGGCATGGACAGGAAATAAAAGAAATGAAGGGTGGTCTCTGACTTTTGCACAATACTGTGTATGTATAATACATAATAGGACTACACACACACACACATACACACACACACACACACACACACACACACACACACACACACACTCAGACACACACATCCTTATGGATGTTACAAAGGGACATGGAGTGTATCTGATTATAGGCATATGACATCAGAAAGGACAAACTGATATCAGGGAAGCATTCTGCAGCACTTCCTGTCTATGTCCTTCAAAAAAGACATGCCCATATGCTGCTGTAAAAGACACAGTTGGATTTTTTTTAAGCAGATATAGATGAAGATCCACCATATGCGACATGACTTTGCCATTTCCCTTTGGGGGAGTCCATGACATTATCATAAAGGGCCATTCCATTACTGCATTATCTTGAGAGAAGTTTTCAGATTACTCCTTGGAGGGTCAAGGAATCCGGTCAATATACAGTTTCAGAATTCTCACAACATTAGTGGAATCTCAGCAAAGCAACAATGTAAGTCAACTTAATAAGCGATGTTGTTTTAGTTATATCAGCAAACTCAACTTACCACCAGCTAAAATTCTCACAGACAAAAATTTGTCGGAATTGACACCTGTTTCCTAATATTTCTGCCGTAGTCCTCCTTATGTCTGTTGCCCTTTCTCATTCCTTCTTACTAACTTTGTGTTTTGTGTTAGACAGCTATGCAGTTATGTTCCTGTAAAAAGATTAGATGCCGTGGTTTCCTTGTGGTACAGTAAGCTAATACATAAGCTGCAACCTTTACTGAAAGACTGAAAAACTGCTACAATACTGGAAAAAAGGAAGAAATAATCTAGTCTTTTCACATGCACCGAATAATTTTGTTTATACCAACAGCCAGATTTAGTGATTAAACCATGAATATGTTAGTATATAAGAATGTTCCATTTTATAACCTTGCAATTCTTCATATAAATAGTACTTGTCTCTATGTTATGATGATGCTAAATTCTGTATTAGCTTGCTATTGTGTTAGTGCCAATCTAGCGGTAGTTTATGTTCATATTGATGGCAGATGCAGCTTAAGTATAGACATTTCAAGTTTGTAGCATCCAAGTAATGTTTTTGATTTGTAAATTGCAGTTTTAAAGGCACTATTACAGTGGCTACCTGTGTTATGTAGTCGGGGGGGGGGGCATGTTAAACACAGCACTGAAGAGGAGGTTTGTATATACTTTAGAGATATGTATGTCGGTAGCGTTTAGCAACTATGCAGAGCTGGAAGGTTGATGGTTCAGGTGATTCTACAGTACAAATGAAAAGGCTTGTAATATAATGGCTTACACACCACTTCTTTTGGAGCCTTTGTACTGTGTCTGCTCACAGGTTCATTTTGGATTTTAGTGCTACCATTTCTCTCTGTCTCTCTCTTTCTCTCTCTCTCTCTCTCTTTTGTTTTCATTAAAGCATAAAGCATACTGATGGATCACTCTCTCTTTTATTAGTGCTGGGCACTGATGTTGTTGTAATCAGACTCATTTAATATATTCCTTTTTTGCCAGGCAGGAAAAGGGTCTAATGCACCTAACAAACTGGCGGTGAATAGAACGATGCCAGTCAAAATGAACTCGCAATGAATAGCAAACTCAAAAATTCAAAATGAGTGCTGGCACTCTCCATTACCGGAATCATGCACTCAAACATGGGGGATACAGTGCAATGACTACAAATAAATATAAACAACTCACATTCAATATCTAGCAGCCTCTTAAACTCTACCACATTTCAAGGGAAATATAAGCTAGACATAGCTCATTTTGTAGATGTATGTGTGTGTGTGTGTGTGTGTGTGTTAGTGAGTCATAAAGCTAAGCTGGGATTGAGGCGTCACTTTGAAATTATCTTGGTCTGAAATTGCTACGCAATTTATTTTCAGGTCAAATTGCAGATGCCTATATGAATATTAATGTCTGAACCTCGAGCTTGAAAGCTACATGTCACTCAGGTCATGGTGTCCTGATTAGGGGCAGGTGCAAAGGTTATCTCTATGAAATATTTGAACGGTTGTTTTCCTTATAGCACTTTTTATAGCAGACATTTCCCCATTTGTGGTTTCACAGAAATCTGGGTGCAGACCCCTAATAAACAAGCTGAGGGAGACTGCAGCAAGAAAAGCTCCCGAAAAACTGGAGGAATAAACAGAGTCACTTGCACCAGCAGTATGTACGTTTACACGTAGGCTATTTAGAATGTAAGTTTACTAAGTTCAGGTTTAAGCATTGCTAAATCAAAACGAGTAGCACCACACACACTAGTTTTAATGTTGAGCATAGGAGTTACTTAATAATTACACCTCCACAAAGCAGGTGTAAGAGTAGCTCTGAACATACAGCTAACACCCACAACTCCAGTTCAGTGAGACTCTAAACATCTCAACTGATGGTGCTGTTCCAGAAACCATCATTTCCATCATCATAAAAAGCTGTATATCAGGTTGTTATTAAAGGCTACAAGTATTCGGTTTCCTACAGTACAACTTGTACACATCATCCTCTTCTATGCTGAATATTTCTTCCATTGAAAAAGTTGCCATTTCATTTCCTTGGCAGCAGGTTTATAAGTTGGTTCTGAGCATGTTATCATCATGTAGAATTGTATGCTTTAGTTAGTTGTTAGTAGTTAAGATATGACATTAAGGTCTTGCGGTGCAACCAGATTTAGTACAAGTATAGCTTGAAACTAGCTAGTGTAACTAAAGGCTTAGTAAAGACTTTATACACAAACTTAGGTAGGGACCTGCAAAACCGATGCAACTGAAGTCCACAACTCAAAAGGGGGACTGATCCTCCTCTGGGCCACACCAGATGCAGTAAGGATACAAGTTGTAATTTATTCTTTATTGATCCTACAGGGGAAATCTGTCATTTTGCTGCCTGCTAACTATGCCTGGTCTGGCATCACCGCCTGGGGCAATGGGGGGTTAAGTGCCTTGTCTAACAGCATAAGCCGCTACATATAGTCAGCCCTAGATTTTAAGCCCAGGACCTCCTAAACTTTCAATTAATACGATATTTGTATCTAAAAGCAAAAGAGGATATTTTATAATGTGTTTGAATGAATGAATCTGATGGAAAGTTATTGTTGTTTCACAGTTTTGCAGAAAGGGAAATAAGAATATTCTAATCTTCTACAAAGATTTTAAAAAGCTTGTAATGGTTGAAAGCTAATTAGATTTGGTATTATTGCATAAAATACATTTATTTCCTTTTTTATTTTCATTATTTTGTTTCATTAAAACATTAAAAATAATGAAAATAAAAAAGGAAATAAATGTATTTTATGCAATAATACCAAATCTAATTAGCTTTCAACCATTACAAGCTTTTTAAAATCTTTATGGAAGATTAGAATATTCTTATTTCCCTTTCTGCAAAACTGTGAAACAACAATAACTTTCCATCAGATTCATTCATTCAATCTGGCAACACTGATCAGTTTGTTACACTCTTTGGTGCAGGAGAGCAGAAGAAAACTGTGTCTTTTTAGAGCAGCTAAATAACTATATTTCCATGAGATGAAGGTTTTTACGTCTTTCAAACAGCAGTTTGTACCAGAGCTCACGCTAAACTCGGCACGGTATTGGACTTTACACACAATGCATTGTGAATACATTTCCTGGGGCACTGAACAGCTTGATAGCTTTCATGCGTTCTTGTATTCTTGGAGATAAAAGAAGCTGAGAGCATGCCAATAGTAATCTGGAGCAAGGAAATTTTGGACTGCACTGAGCGGCTGAATTTGAAATTGTTGCCCCAAATTACAGCTCTAAAACAGTTAAGCATGAAGGCTACTTCTGTCTTTTGCCAGAGTACTGCAAGAGTTTTTACAGAAAGGATTGCTTCACAGTGTGCACGCAGCTGCATGCTACTGTGACTAGCTAGCATTTGGCTTGATAAACAGAAGCTTGTTGACATTGAATGAATATCAAATGTAATTACATTTAAATAATTATGTAATACGAATTGAATGTCTAAAATGTTAGCTTCACAGAGAAGGAAGAAAAATATTCTTTACGTTTAATGTAAATTAGTGTAAGTAGATTTAATTTTCGATCATCATGAATTTTTCACACAATGTAAAGGGCAGCTGCTCTGCTAAAATGATGCAGAAAAATAAAAATCAAAAAGAAATGGACATACTTTTTTTGGACAGTGATGATATACAGGATGTTAGATATGAGAACATGGTGAGTAAGAAGTTCAGTATGAGTGTAAGGCAGCATTAAACGTTCCAGAAACAGCACAGGAGTTCATGTAGGGGTTGGCAGTCATACAGATAATTACGAAAATCTTGACAGAGGTTCAAGAGGAATGTGATGAGAGACTATTCAATCATTTTCATCATCACTTAGTGCATATTTCAGCACACACTCTTACCTGATTTCCCCACTCCAGCTCTCCCGAAAACAGCCAGTTTCACCTCGGGGCTCTTCGCCATGACGACGGAAGCTAATTCAGCACAATGAGTTGATCACAGAGTGGACAGGTATCAGAGTGATGTCGCTGCCACTTCATCGGTTCATTGCTGCCTCCGCATATGTGGGCAGGATCTCCTGAAAGCGCAGACACACAATGCGCACATCACTTCTTTGTGTTATACACTACCATTCAAAAATTTTAAATCACTGTTTTCAATAATATAAAACAAGCTTTGTTGCAGTACATGTATGAGATTATTAGAATTTGCTGCTAGTACTCTACAGTTCCATTAGTAACAGTTGAAAGAAGAAATTAAAAACTTTTAGTTTAGTGAGTCCAGAATGATGAATGGAGCTGTAGATCATTTTACAAGCAATAAAGCTTTAAGACTAAAGTAAAGAATGAACATCCACAGTGCTTCATATTTCAAAAGTGATGGTCAAAACTCAAGGCAGATAACTTGGCAAAATGCACTGTAAATACATTGTATGGCCAAACATATGTGGACTGACACACCTATATGTCCTTGTTGGACATCCCATTCCAAAATCTTTGGATTTAATATGGAGTTTAGCACTCTGCAGCCCCACTCTGTGAGTCTGCGTGATCTACTGCTTCCATTTCACAATAATAGCACTTACAGTTGACTGGGGCAGATCTAGCAGGGCAGAAATTTCACAAACTGACACGTTGCAAATGTGGCATTCTATGACAGTGCTGCGTTTAAAGTCACTGAGCTCTTCAGTACAACCCATTCTATTGCCAATGTTTTGATCTCAATCATTAGGAAGAGTGTCCAAATACTTTTGGTTATATCATGTAGATAATTATAATGTATTATTCATAATTTATAAAACTTTGTGTTGTTTCCAAAAAGCTACAAACATTGCAACAAATACTGCAACAGAATGTAAAAAATAGATGTCTAGTCTCTAGTTTGTACTATTTCGATTAAATTTTGAGATGGCACTGATTTGATACCAGCTTTATCAGGCCAAAATCAACAGAAAATGCTGGATTGGATATGACAGAGAAAAAAGAATGAATGTGATTCAGTCCTGTAACAAATCTATCCTGAAATATCACTCACTCACATTGTGTTGTTTGCTGTGTATTTCTTCCTAGGGGATAGCCAACGTTTAGATGCTCATCTTAACCCTGTCGAAACGAGAGTCTCGCTAATGATCTGTTTTGAGAAGTTGACAATGGTGTCTTTAACTAGTTTATATCTGCCACCAAAGGAGTTTTGTAGTGTAAGCACATCCACGTTGGCCTCAGTGAAACACTTCTGTGTGTATAACTGTGTGCTATTATTGCATAAAAAATCCATAAGGCTTTGTTTATTGTTGGATGAATCATGATTTTTTCATGGACTGAGCATGCAAGCTTATTCAGAGTGGTAAGCGCTTATCATTGTTTTATTTGATTAGATCATTAATAAAACACAACTGATGTGTGAAGCATATTGATATTCATGTGTTTCCTTGTTCAAAGTGGTAGTTTGTGACACAAACTAAATAAAAATCTAAGAATTATCAGCTTTGTTAGATCACATGCTTTAAATATCAAATAAATGCAAAAGCAGCTTTGAGAAATCATGTTATTAAAGGAGAAGAGCAGATAAAATTACAGAAATGGCCACTTTTTTGTGCCTGCCATAAACATTTAAGTGCAGTGCATCAATTGAAAACAGCTCATTTTAATTTTAGTTTTTAAAGCAAAAATAATGGCAACCCGTACTTAGGGTTTCAGTATCAATATCGATATTGGAAAAGAAAAAGTGGTATCGTACCATCTCACATCTACACTGTATATGACAGTGAATCAAGACTTTTTACTGATTATGTAATAACAGTCTTTGGATGACAAAAGCCTGAATAATCAAACCGTTGCTGCTGTAAGTAAACTCGGTTTGAATGCCAAACTGGACACATTGAGTTGGCTTATGGTAATGAGTGTTCTTTTCATGCACGACTGCCAAATGGATTATCTCGGAAACAGATCATTCGCTGTTTCTATCAGTGATAACAACATTAACATTGTGACTCATACTCGGCCGTAGCGTAGGCAGAGTGTGTGGATGTGTGCGTGTGTTCATATGTGTATGTAGGGATGCCCATTAAATTATTCATTCAGAAGCAAAACGAACAGCACCTGATGCTACACAGAACTTTATATTGAATTCAATTTAGTTCACTGTCAGCAGTCAGTTCCTCATGCGGTCCTGTTAACACTGCACCAAATCACTTGTTGTCACCAACAAAAGCTGTGCATTGATCTAAAGCTGTATAGGGGAGGAAAACGGAAGTTGTACAGCTGGTATAATGTTATTATTTGAGGTGCCAGACAAACTTATATGCAGCATGGGTTAAGCAGATTAAAACAATTCTGTTACTTTAATGAAATGATGACTCTACTGCTTAAACTTTAAAGCTCAAAAGTGAGAGATCAACTGCAAAGCAGCCCAGGAGCTGTTTACAACACAAGTTAACAAAATTAAACCCTCCAAAAAAAGGAATCCGGACTAATGACTATAATCAGACATGCAAACCCGTGAGCAGTGAATTTCAGAAACCTGAATCTGCCTATAAGGGGCCCTGGAGGTCTGATACCAATACCTGATACTGATACTAACTCAATCTAACCTAACTACTCAAAAGGTGCCTATAAATCCTGATATATATATACTATTCCAATTTTTAAATATTTTATCTAGGTAAAAAACAAATGTGTGTCACAAATGTGTGTCTTAAATCAATGAGAGATTAATATTTAAAGTTGGATATCTTCACATTTGAATGGTTCAGAACTAAGAAAAGTCACTGTTCTCTTTGGCATGCTTTATCTTTAAATGCTTAATTAAATTTGTGCCTCCTCTTGAAATCATGCCATTTTGCAATGAGCATTTTTCAGGTTACTTTAGTTAAAGTCCATCTACCGGTGCGTATTCAAGAGTCACTCAGTATCACATGTACGCATCAGAAATTGGTTCAGGGTTTTTTTCTATTGCTGATACTAATATTGTAATTTACAGGTATCGATGCAAAACTAGTTAAATACTTTTTCTAGATATGTTGCCTTATTTCTTAAAAACCCTACAGGCCTTTGCTGGTTCTCTGACAGAAATGAATGGCATTTTGGAAAACTACTACTGTTGCGCTATGTAGCAAACAAAAATGTTCCTAAAGTCATTATGTTCTGCAGTACAGATACTATAAGCCAAAATATGAATACTGCTACCACTGCTAACACTGCTGCACACTGAACTGACATCATATAGAATTGAATTGATTGGCAAACTCACCAAAATACCCCACACAAACCAGCAAGCTCTATCAAATGTGGTAGTTTCGAGGCTTTTAGGTGGAGTTTAAGTAGCTGGTGTTAGTTCATAGTAGTGTTGAAGTTTAATAGCAGACTTGCTTTCACGCAGTGTCATTAGCGTTAGCTCAGGAACGTTAGCTTCCTTGTAGCATGTTTGTAGCATTATTCACATTTTGACTGCTAAATGACTTCATATGTATCGATTCGGGACATTTCAGTTTACCACACGGCAGCAGCAATTTTTCCAGTATGCCACTTATTTCTGTCGTAGAGGAAACCAACCTAGACCCGAAACTCCTAATATGGCCATGGCGCTGACTACAGAATGACACACGACTTCAGAGGCGCATTGTTTACCAAACCAAGACCAAAAAGTAAATGAGTAATAAGAGTAATGTGTAGAAAAAAAGAAATATGATTTGTGTTCTCTTTGTACGTGCTCCATAAACTGCATCATGCTTGGACTGGCTAAATAAATTACCATGATCTGCTTCTGGATAAGAGGGATCCTTTCTTAGAATTCTCCTTGCTGGCAACAAGACCACCCCCTCCCAAAATTAAAAACTCTACAAATCTACACAATTCAAGTGAATGCCATATTAATCACTGACAATGTCAAAAGATGTGTTTTTATGTATGGTAATGTAACAGAGGAGAAAGTAGATTCCTTTTCTCATAAATACACGTAAGTAGAGGTAAAAGTTTTATGGGTTGAAAATGCTCAGAAATGTATAAACCCAACAAGGCGTTACATCAGTATATGAAACCAAGTACATAACTAGTTATTACCCACTGCACTCTCAAAAAAAGGTATAAACTGTTATTTTTTGGGCACAAATGCCACCATTGAGGTGGTGTCCTCAAGGGTACACTTTCGGAACCTTTAATTAGTGAACAATACTGTACCATATTCTGTTGCAATTCTTTTTAAAATGATTTATTTTATTTTTTCAATTTGGGAAAGTCAATGCTGTGTACCTTATCAAGGGCCCACAACACAGAAAATGCATTTTCATTTGCTTTTTTGAAAAGTTTGATATTGTATATATAAACAATGTTAAAGTTTCAAGATGTTCCATTCACTCCCCAGTCTGTACAATCCATATTTGAAAAATATGCTGCAAAAACAACCTGTTTTCAATTCATTGTTTTTGTGATGGCACGAATAGCACTGCATTTACACAGATCTGTCCGTTTAGCCTACAGCACTTTAGACACATCTATTCACGCTTACATTATACAGTGTTTTTCAGGCCAGACTGCTTTGAATGAGGCACAATAGAGGGCAGCCAATAAGAGCAGATGTCATTTACACAAATCAGTTATAAAGGAACAGTTAAAACAGCTTGTTTAATTCTAAGTGATAAAAAGAGGTTAGAAAATGACCACACAAAATAAACTGAGCCTTTTTTTCGTACATACAACAAACAATCATCAAGTGCACTTATAAGAAAATGCAGGATGTTAAAACTCATTTAAGGCACATAATTGGAGGGAATACATAGTTTGCTCCTTGGCAGACAAAACTGTACCTGTGCAGTGCCCTTCTTTCTGACAGTGTAAATGCACTGAATGGTATATTTGATGCTTCTTGGAAGACAAGAGCTGAGTATGTGACAAGCACTTTGTTATCTGCCTTAAGGCTTCGAGTGACTTGCACTCGACCTCAGCTTAGCTCTTGAACTCAGTCTCTTTAGGGCTTCGTCTCTCTGAACTTCTCTTTCAAAAACAGTATTAACCCTCATCAGCTGCAGTTAGTACTGGTGATATTTAATTTTAGAAGCATTGTCTCACTCATATCTCCACACAA